CTTAATTGCAAGCTTTTGAAAGACGTTATCTATATCTTTTGATATCTTTTTTTCAATATATTGCTGTTTCCTGGTATTGTAAAGTCAAAGTCAAATAATTTATTTCAATATTTAAAGCACTTTTGAAAATCAAACGAAATACATTAAGATGAAATGTGACGATCTATCGGTCAGTCCTCTAGTGAAGCTATTTGCTCGTTCCAAAGTGAAGATTCCTATGGAGAGGAACGAGCAACAAACTCCATGGTTACTCTTTTTCAATCAGATTTAAAAACTAACAAAATCCAAACTAACAAAATTATCTGTGAAATTATATATTTATATACTAAAAAGGTACATAATGTGTAAAATATACAAGAAATATGATAAAAAATCTTTTTTCGGGACCTTTCTGATGACATGTCACTAAAAAATAAAAATCTACATACAATTTTAAAAAAACTTCGGTAACTGCATTGCAGAACAAAAGCCTCTTCTCACACGGAGAAGGTTTGAGCATAACACGACGCTCGCTCAAGGCGGATTGCCGATTTCAAACTTGTCATCAGAAATTACAAGTCCAGGTTTCTTCATGATGTTTTCCTTCACCGTATGTCAGTGGTGTCTAAATAAACATAGAAAGTCAACATGATATTCTTTTCTTAAAATACCAATGTAATGACGTCACCTGTTTCGAATCTTCACAATTTCGCAGATGGATATAAAAACTATATCAACCTGCACAATAAAGTATACTTTAACTATCATTAGATTAACAACCCTATCTCCGGAAGTTTAAGGTCGAAAATATCAGTGGAGCTTGACACGATTCTATATAAGAACGCACATCAGAGTATACTTCGTTGGCAATGGATTTACAATTGTATTCCTCAAAGAAAAAGGTTGACAATGCAATAAAGAGATTTAACATTTCAGTGGAGTTTGATATGCACATCTCAGGCAATACAATGCACTTTTAAGTGTTGTACCTAAATAAACAAGGATGGGACACGCCGATATCTCAAGTGGGTTTTTTGTGTTACATATTTTTATGATAGTGATGTGATGTGTCGATAATTTTGAACTTTTGAACGCCATTGTAGGTTATCGACGATATACTAATATTATAAAGAGGTAAAATTTGTAAGTTTATATGTAGGGGGTAATCTTTGGAACCGCTGGTCGGATTGCCAAAATTCTTTCACTGATAGATAGCTACAATGTTCCTGAGTGCTATAGGCTATAAAACTTCACGCTATGATCAAATGGAGCCGAGTAGCGGGTGAAACCGCGTGAGAATAGCTAGTAGCCGATAAACCAAATGAAGTTGTTTATTTTATGCTAGATATGGCGGATTAGGCTATTTTGCGTTTGTCGTATTAAGCCAACCGTGGCGGTCAAAATGTTAATTCTATATATTTAAATAGAGGTATATACACATTTAGTTTTTTTGGAAGTTTACCTTTTACTAAGGTAAGGTAAGGCCTTGTGGTTTTGAGAAATTTTTACTATGAAAACCTACAATTCACTGTAATACCGATTGAGCCTACTGACTCACTCTGGTATCAAGATCTATAAGTACCTACAATAACGAAACAGTCTATTGTCATATTCAGAGTTCAATTCTAGACTCTATGTAAGTAATGAAAAATGTTTTTTTTTTACTAGTTATAAACAAGTGCTTGACTGCGATCCCACCTGATGGTAGGCAGTGATGCAATAGTTAATGGTAAGGCGAACTAGTTTATTAAGAGCCTATTAACTCTAGCCTTGAAGACATCTAAATTATATTTGGACGGAAAGACTGCAGCCGGCAAACTGTTCCAATCCCTCGATGTACGCGGTATAAATGACGAGGCAAAACGCTTAGTCCGGGCCGCAGGTGTCTCAACAACGTAAGGGTGGATATTTGCCGTACGCCGGATGTCCGAAGGTGAAATGGGGATGGTGGAATCAAATCCTCCAAAATGCATCCTGTAGAAAAACCTAAAGGCCTCTAGTCCTAAACTCGATCGCACTCCACTAAAGAGGCAATGATGCCTTTTAAGATCTACTTATCTAAGCCTTTAGTATAATAACAATACCAAATTATGTATACACAAAAACAACCCGACGATAAAAATATATCTGTTAAAAAACATTTTTGTAACCCTTAAGTAAAATAACAATACCAAATTACTAACACACAAAAACGACCCGACGATAAAAATATATCGATACTTTGAACAACCCACATCACTAACGAAACGCTACACAAAAATCAAATAAAAAAAAATCACGTCAAAAATATTTAAAATCCTGCTACTGTATTACCTGTCACATCCAAAATTTTAATATTGACATACTGTTAACCTTCTTTGTTAAAAAAACATTTTAAGACGACAGGAATGATCAGCCAGGGCAAGCACGATAAAGTTGAAGAAGGTGTGGGGAGGTTTTTAGTCAGTAAGAGTCTGACACTCCCTCTCGCCCGGCCCTGGACGAGACATGTCATTTGATAAGTTTCCCTTCTCAAGAAAAAGGAGACGACACGTGAGAAATCATTTAAATAAAACCTTCGAAGGATGTGGTAGAAATGAGAAACCTTTAACTCAATGGTTATTTTACAAAACTTAAGAATTAAGCCCACTGCTGAGTAAAGACCTCTACTCACATGGATAAGGCATTAACCACCACGCTCGCTCAAGGCGGATAGTCGATGTCAAACTTATAATTAGAAATTAGTTTCCTTACGATGTTTACCTTCAGCGTATGTCAGTGGTGTCTAAATAATCATAGAAAGTACATATAACTCGGAAAAAGTCACATTGGTACTTGCCAAAATGCATAAATAAAAATGTACTTATTCCAAAACACAATTCGGAATCAGAGCGGCCGTCCGATAAAACCCTCGATCAATCGATATGAAACACATCGATATTCGTAAGTAAATCGATTGTAGATTAAAATCGATACAATCGTCGTTTTGTCCGCATGATTTAAGATCGTGACTTCGATTTCAAATATTTTTTGAAGTGGATTCCTTTGTTATAGCAGGTAGTTTAAGATGATACCTAAGTACGTATCGCCTGGACAGTTCACGCTACCATCAGTTGACTGGACAATATACCTAAGCCTGTCCTATGACTGCACGGTTGGCGCGGTGGCTGGGCAACTGGCTACCGTGCGACGTGTCGCGGGTTCGATTCCCGCACGGAACAACACTTTGTGTGATCCACAAATTGTTGTTACTGGTCTGAGTGTCATGTGCATGGGAAATTGTATGTTTGTAAACGCAACCACGACACAGGAGAAAATCCTAGAGTAAGGCAACGTTTAAAAAAAAAGTACGTATCGCCTGGACAGTCCACGCTACCATCAGTTGACTGGACAATCTCTACACTACATGAGTCAATGTTTAGATGTCACCATTAGCTCATGACGATACCTAAGTACGTATCGCCTGGACAGTCCACGCTACCATCAGTTGAGTTGACAATTTTTAGTAAGCTGCTGTTTAAGTCCTACGGTAGTCAAAAACAATCAAATCTTACAAAACTACAGAACAATTTGTCAAATATGTATTTTTTTGACAAAAAAATGATTAATGTTTGTTTAAAGCCATACTAGCCGGTTACTTGTTAAGGTGTTTGGTACAAGTGGGAAGAGACTCGCTGATACCTATACGATAAAAAAATCTATCATTCTATTTTCAAAAAGCGTTTTAAACGTTTAATATTTTCTCTTGTGTCGTAAGGGTATTTACAAACATATACATTAAAAATCACGTCACACCCCAAAACTGGAATTACAATCTGTAATTTTATACTAAGAGTTGTTGCCGTGCGGTAATCAAGTCCTCGCCGCGTTGCACGGTAGACGGTTGTTTAGCCACCGCGCCAGCCGCGTAGTCAATATTAATGTTTGATAATATAATTGATAATTATTAAACACGAAGGTTCTACGCGAACTTTTGTTTATCTTTGTTTCACGTCTCGATTTTACGGTATAACTTTTATGTCTACATATAAATCGGGGGTTGTGAGGAGGGCCATAAAATGAGCGTAATTTTTCTTTAAATTTAAACTGACTATCCTAAAAATAAATGCTCAACTTATCACTTTTTAAATCATCTCAAATAAAATAAAACAATCCAAACCCGCTGTCTCCGCCAACTTAGACCACACCTTAACCCACCACCGCCGTGTGAGGTACAATGATCCCAATGACATCGATTCATTTATCATCAACATTTAACTCCTAAACGCACAGGTTACAAGTCTCCTTTGATTTGTACACCGGCACCGTGTGTCTACTGTTATTTTTTGTCTCTTTCTTGTGTACCGAAAATGTTTGATAAAAAAGAGAGAGGTTATGTTTTGGTTAGGTTATGTTGTAGTTGATGTTTGCGACTAGCCTGCTGGAAGAGATTTCTGAAGAAATAATCGCTATGTACCTAATCAAAGTCAAAGTGAAAACATTTGTTTCAATTAGGCCACAGATAGGGCACTTTTGAACGTCACCTATGAAATAGCCGTTTTGCATAAAAAATTTAAACGAATTTTTTGATTTGAAATGCGCGATGAAAATGTAACGCTAATCAATAAACAAATGACTACTTTTGGAAAAAGAATCCCATGTTTTTAAAACAAAATTAATTAGCCTTAGCCTAACAAAAACTATTTTGATTTAAAATGGCCAGTACTGCAGAACGGCAATTTCATAGGTAAAGACCTATTATTTCAAGAGGTTTAATTTTATGTTACTGAAGTGTTCTACTATTCTTCTTGACTCAATTACTGTGTATATAAACTGTTTCAATATAAAGAAATAAACGAAATCATTTTTAAAGATACGTAAACTTTAATAACCTAATTCTGTAAAAATGCAGATGCTCATCTACCTTCAGAAAGAACAGACAATTACAATAGACATACAAATAAAAAATGCTTGAATGCAACAAAAATCATAGAAACCAGAAATTCCAAAATAAACTTTCAAGTGTCTTTTAGCTCCAGTAACTGTAAGGAGATGTCACTAACCTGGTTATGGTAATGCGCCAAGGGATGATGCGGCACATGCCGCATAGCTGGGTGCAGCATCTCCGAGCTGGAAGAAGACCCGCTGCTGCTGCCCTCTATGGCCTAAAAACAAATATAACGGTGGAAAGAGCTATCGATTGTCGACGAATTTTTATTTTATTTAATAACCAATATTTGAATTTAGAAACTTAAATTTTTGAGCCATGCTTCGGCACGAATGGGTCGGATCGACCTTGGCGTTTATCAAAAGTTACTTTGTGTTTCACAGTTTGAATGATGTTACCACTTACCTATTCCATAAAAAAGGCTCTTATCCCCCCTCCCCCATCATCAATCCTCAAATCCCCTATTCCTAAATCTAAAACAACCCACAAGAGGTCGGCAACGCACTTGTAGTAACTCCTTTGGTATTGCGAGTGTCGATGGGCGGCGCTGATTGCTTACCATCAGGTCATCCGCGTGCCCGTTAGCCGAAGTATGACATAAAATCTTGAAATACCTATACAGAAGAAAAAAAACAAAACAGTTTACCACAACCTGGACAAAAAACATCCATTTGAAGCTGAAAAGAAGCTATCAGTGGAGGTTCCCTGTCCAGGTCTCGAGTCTTACTTCCGGCGGCTCATTCTTGGTCTCCGCCTCGTCGCCGAGCTCGACAAGGCCTAGAGCTTCTTCCAGAAGGTCAAAACGGGATTCCTCACTGCTAACCAGCTCACGGGGAAGGTCACCTTGGATCACGTATTCACCTGAAACGAGAGAATTTGGTTAGAGAAGATCTAATAGAACAATTAATAAAAGTGTCAAAAAATATGTTAATATCATTAGCTAATTTCATCAAAATCGGTTGAGTGGTTTTGTACGTCAAAAATACATATACGTATAACTAAGAGCCTGTTTTAGCACTATCGTGTGACTAAGTAATAGATAAAATTATCTGCCACATACCTACATACATCATACAAATTACGTTCTGTATTTAAATTAATGTAACACATAGTTTGTTGATTGTCCTGACACAGGGAAATCAGCCCCTGAACAACTCTTGATGTCTGTCAATGGTGTCTAAATAACCATAATACCTAACAAAAAATATCACAATCTTCAAAAGACATTTTACTGCCTTCGTTACAACCTTTCTCGATCGTCAAAAACTTAGAACTATAGATTTTTCACCACATAATTATCGATACAACAATCCTAAACAAAATAAATTCCTGTTAATCCTTACTAGAACATAGCACCCGTATAATAAAGTAGTGGTAAACTACAATATCCCTAAAACGAATAGAAACTAACAAAAATGTACCCGCAGTCGCAAAAGAAAAATATCTGCAAAAATTTCTCAAACTCCCATGAGGCTAAAAAAAAGCTGCAAGTAAAAGCCGCCGTCTGGCCCCTTGAAATTTAAATTTTTATATAATTTACAAGCAAACTCATAAATCATTATTGTCCGAATGCATTGACCGCAAACGTCTCCTATAGAATGGTAGCAAATAATCGTGTTTTGAAAAGCGGGGTCCTTTAGACCGACCGCCTAATTATGCACGGACGCAGTAGCGAAAGGGTTGGCGCACATTAAAAGACAATAAGTATAGATGTAGTTCTGAGAAAATTATTGCAAAAATTTCGTTTGAAAAAGTTTTTTTTTTCGTGATATTGTTTAAATGTAGGATAGCTAAGTCTCATTATAACTATGACAACTATGTTCAATGTGGCTAAGTTTCGACACGAATGGTTCAGCTCGACCGGAGTGATAACACGGCCAGACAAAATATTGGCGTGAAACAGCCCTCTTTTCGGTAGGCAACTACTTGTATTGAACTTTTCAATAAAAAAACAAAACGCCGATTCAAAAAGCCTGTAAAAAAGTTAAAGACTTAAAGCTAGTCGGAATCTTGGTTAATCCACGTAAGTCGCTATCACTACATAGTATAAAACAAAGTCGCTTTCTTTGTCCCTATATCCCTATGTACGCTTAAATCTATAAAACTACGAAACGGATTTTGATGCGGTATTTTTATGGATAAAGTGATTGAAGAGGAAGGTTAATATGTAGAATTAAGTGCATTAAATTCTATTAGAGTATAGTCAAGATAATTTATTCCAACTAAACCATAAACAGGTACTTTTGAATCGTGAAAATAGAATAGTTATCAGTCTGTTCGTCAGAGAAGCTAGGTGCTCGTTTCAAATTGTAGATTCAAATGAGAAGAACGAGCAATTAAACTTAGTATAAATAAGTATCTATCAGCATTATACTAGTGCGAAACCGGGGCTTGATGACGGTTTCAATAAATTCAGACGAACCCGGATCAAACCGGATAACTTCACATCCAAAATTCAACTACAAAAAGACACGGTTTGAACAAAAAAACCTACCTAAACAGTCTCCGATACCGTACTAAATTTCGTCCGGTTAGTGAATAAAAAAAGGCACATGTTTTTAATTGTTTTCCGATCAGCGTCCGCCATTTTGAATTCGGCCATCTTGTGACCTTCATGGGCGACCAATCGCGAGCCGTTTTAGATTGGTGTTATGCATTGATACGGTTATTATTGGTATGGGCTTGTGGTTACAATTTGAGGAAAATATTTTTCAGTGTTTTTTTTGTTATTGCTTTAGGTTGAACTAGCTACTCTCGAGCGGTTTCACCCGCTGCTTGGCACAATTTAATCGTAGCATGATGTATTATAGCCTATAGCACTCAGGAATATTGTAGCTATCTATCAGTGAAAGAATTTTGGAAATCCGACCAGCGGTTCTAAAGATTACCCCCTGTATACAAACTTAGAAACTTTAAAATTTTACCTCTTTATAATATTAGTAAAGATAAACTATATATATAAGTATACTGCTTTAGGTTGAATAAGAAACTATATATTGGAGATATGTTTTCTTATAAACTTGAACCTCTAAAACTACGACCTCCACCCTACCTAACAAAACCATCTTTTCTTAGTGGTGAATAAGTTTGAATTACGTACTTTCCTAAGCTAAAAATAAATTATTTTGACTTTTCAATACAATGAATTATTAATACAAAATCATAGATTGATTTACATTATTTAATTTAACTATGTAGGTTTTTTTATGTAATAGGTCGGCAAACGAGCAGACGGATTACCTGATGGTAAGCAATCAGCGCCGCCCATGGACACTCGCAACGGAGGAGTTACGAGTGCGTTGCCGACCTTTTAAGGATTAGGGATTTGGAGATTTAGGGATTGAGGAGGGATTGGGGAAGGGGAAGGATTGGGCCTCCGGTAACCTCACTCACACGGCGAAACAAAACGCAGTGGTTATTTCACGCCGGTTTTCTGTGAGGCCGTGGTATCACTCCGGTCGAGCCGACCCATTCGTGCCGAAGCATGGCTCTCCCACACTTAATTAATTAAAGATATGTTTCTAGCATTTTTTTCAGTTATGTCTATTTATTGGACTTAAAAACATGACATTTGTATATTGCGACTTCATACAAAATCCATAGCACATCATATTTACTGAAATTTCAATAAAAATATTGAATTTGACTAGTTTTTTTTTTTGTCAGGGGAAAATCATCCAATGACTTCTCCCGCCCAGGGTAAGGCGAGAGAGAGTGTCAGACTCTTACTGACTAAAAACCCCCCGTTCCTTCTCCTGCTCTGGGCCGAGGTCGCGGTGCCTCATTGCGCTTACCCCGCACCCCGTAACTTCCTACAGTAAAAAAAAGCCAAATTTTCTTAGTCCCTTAGAGAAAGGGACAAAATCTGAATACAGACCTACCTCACAACCGTTATCCCACCACTAATCCAACGAAGACAATCAAACAAAAGAACTAAGCCCCTTATATAACACCAGTAGCAATTAAAACGAAAATAAATCCACTCATACCTTCACACATATAAAAAAATTAATCCCAACCAAGCACTTAGCACAAAAATCAACCTTACAACTTTAAAAACACGATCTAGTTTTACATAATCGACGGTGACAACTAACCCGTTCGGCGCGACGGTGACAAAAAGTAGTCGCCAATGACTTTGAGGTCTTAGGGACCGGACAAAGGAAGGATTATTATAAGTCGTATTGTATGCATGCTACTAGTTAACCGTTATTTCGCTGCATTTTTGACAGGACAAGTTGACGTAAAATGGTATTAAAATGACCAGACAATATAATAGATAAGAGCAACTAGGAAATTATTGACTTCATTATTTTTACTCACAGAGAACCGGCGTGAAACAACCACAGCATTGTGTTTCGCCGTGTGAGTGAAGTTACCGGAGACCCAATCTCTCCCCCCTTCCCTCTTACTTTTCCAATCTTTGAATATCCGAATATTTGATCCTTTATCCATAAAAGTCTAGCAACGCACTCTTAACTCGTTTGGTGTTGCAAGTGTCCATGGGCGGCGCTGATTGCTTACCATCAGGTAATCCTCATGCTCGTTTGCCGACCTATACCATAAAACAAATTATATCCTGTATACGATGCTATCATCATCATCATCATCATCAGCCTGATGTCGTCCACTGCTGGACATAGGCCTCCCCAATTGCACGCCACTGAGCTCGATGTTCAGCTCTTCTCATCCAACCACTGCCAGCCACCCTGCAGATATCAGCCCACCTAGCCTTTTTTTGTCAGGGGAAAATCGTCAAATGACTTCTCCCGCCCAGGGTAAGGCGAAAAAGAGTGTCAGACTCTTACTGACGAAAAACACCCCCGTTCCTTGTCCTGCTCTGGGCCGAGGTGTCATTGCGCTTAACCCGCAACCCTGGCTGCAGTCCACCTAGCAGAACACGTCCACCCCAACGGTCTTACGTTCTTCGACAAATACGATGCTATATAAAGATAGAAATATAAATAGATGGTTGCATAATGTTACAAAAAAAAACCGATTGTAGTAACCTTGGCATTGACTTGTCACGGCGCGCGCGCAGAAAGTGAATTGTTATATAGATCTATGATCCATGGATCATTGGCGTGTCGATCGATTGCATTGTTCGTTATTTTGACACTGATTTTTGTGTACCTATAACTAGGTATTTCGATCGGCTCCTAGAAGTTTAACAACTCTGTAACAATATTCTTACAAATAAATGGATTATATAAGTGTAATGTTTTATAACCTAGCTTCACTGACGAACAGACTAACAGACTACTATTCTATTTTGACGTTTCAAAAGTACCTATTTATGGTTTAGTTGGAATTAATGACTTTCGACTTTGACTATTGCGTTCCTCGATAAATGGACCTAACTAACACAAAAAGAATCGTCAAATTCGAACCAGCCGTTCCAGAGATTAGTGCGACTAACCTAAGTGACTTCTCCCGCCCAGGGTGAGTCGAAAGAGAGTGTCAGACTCTTAGTGACTAAAAACCCCCCCGTTCCTTCTCCTGTAGGTACCTTATACCTACCGCTTGTCCAGCCACTCCGAAGCTTGTTTTATAAATAGCAATAGATTCCATGTCATTTACATTTGACGTTTCAAATTCCAAGATGGCGGACGTAACTGATTGCTTACAATTGTCTCTTTAATTGTGACAAATGTAACGTTACGCTATTGGTCGGTTTCAATTGATGTCATTTTTAATTTAATGTAGAATTATGATTGACATTTCGTGCTGTGACATTTTAACTCGAGTTCTAAGAAAGGGGCCGATTGAAACAGGTACCAACTTGATTCAGTGAAATATTAACTATTTCTATATTATAAAATATTTTAAGTGTGGGAGAGTCATGCATCGGCACGAATGGG